TGGAATTGGTTAGTCCGCTCGAGTGGTTACTTCATTGCTCGAGCGGTGAATGAGTAGTCCCCAGAATCTCTGCAGGCCCACAAAACAAGATGTTGGGAGCTTTTGAAATGCAATGAAGTAACCACTCGAGCTTCTGATGCTGGGAGCTTCTAACCACTCAAGCAGTTTAGACGACTCAGATAGATATTCAAGCCTGCAAAAATACAAACTTCTGGATGTTTGATGTGTCCACTTGAGCGGTCTTCTCACCGTTCGAGCGGTGGTAAACAAGAAGTTGCTATTCGAAAATATGCTCTGTTCTAAGGGCTGTTCCAGGCTGCTATAGCCAACTTTCCTGCAATTTCAACTCACAAATATGCACATATGGTACTAAACATGGTTAATATAATTGTTTTCTAAATCAAATGCATCAAATCTTTATTTGTTTCCAAGGTTTGAAGCATAATTCAAACTTAAATGAGAAATTTCATAGTTTCTTTTTCCTTCCTTTCAAAACTAAATTTTAATCAATGAATTCATAAGAAATCAAGAGAAGATGTGGAGGTAATAGTGTAAAGACATTCAAGACCTCAAAAACCAACTTATAAGATTGAAAATCCTACGTTTCCTTCTTAGTTCTTCATCCTAGCTAGCTCCTTTCTATTTCATCCAAGTTCTTCATTCCTAACCCATTTTCATCCTAACTTTTTCATGATTCATGATACTAAAGGTGTCTGTTTCATGTTTTAGGATAGAAATTCCACCTTAGAACACTTCTTGATTGAATCCCCTGAGCCCTTCTCTTTTCTCCTTTCTTTCTTTTCTTTCTCCCTTTTCTTTGCATTCTCTCATGTTAGTTCTTGAGCTCTCTAGCAATTTCTCTCTTTTGTTTGATTTGGATATGAAATTACATAGCGTGTGGCTGAGGCAAAGTTACAACTTCTTTAGCTAATTTAATTCCCTTGCTTAGATTTAATTAATCGAGTTAGAAACTAACTAATTAAATTTGATCCTAATCATATATAGTCTAATTAATCCCCACTAATCATATTTAATTATTACTAATCTTATTTAGCAAAATAGCAAATAGCATGAAATAGTCAAGGTTGTTAAACTAAGGTCTTTAAGCTTCTCACTTAAGGCATAGGTTCATTCTAAGGTTTTCAAATTAAGTTTCAAACTATTCTCCTAACTCTAGGCACAAAACATACAAGTCCTATACATAATTTTCCAACTCCTTCTCCTTCTCAATACTAACAAGCCTAATATCATACAAGTATAGAATGCATGACTTAAATGCATAGACAATAAAGTAAACATGATTCATGAATGGGTTTAGTTGTCACATTCTCCATTTCTTAAAAAGTTTGGTCTTCCAAACTTGCCTTATAGAGCAGTAGGGTTTTGGAGGAGTTTGATAGCGACTTGGATTTTGCCTTTTTTCTGTTTGATTTTCTTAATTTTTAGTTTGTTGATAATAATCCTTTACTATGTGGAGGTTTATTTCCCTCACTTGTGGCGGTATTCTATCCTCCTCCATGGAGGCTTTTATCGTTCATTTTATAAAGATTGTTTATCTCTTTATGAGATCTTGTGATATTGTGGTGCCAAATCGATTTGATCTTTTATCGGTTTTAAAATGAAAATTTTCTTTCCGATCCCGATTAAATAAATAAAATAAACAAATAAATCCTAAATTTTTTATTTTGTCAATTTAAAACAGAGTCTTTTAATTTATTTCAATATAAATCATTGGTAATTTTTTTTAAGTAAAACTCTAAAAATAAAAAGTGTATTTTACTCATTAAATTCAATGAAAAAAAATATTTTAATTTCTAAAATGTGTAAAAATAGATTTAGTTTAATGACTAAAATATATATTTTTAACAACTTTATTTAACAAAAATAAGTAAATAATTTAAATTACAAATAAATTAAAATATTAGAGTTTAAATTAATAAAATTATAAAATTAAAATTTATTTTATCAGAAGACTAAATTTTAGGATTTTTTTATTTATAATTATTTCCAAATAAAAACAAAAAGCCATGCACACTTCGTACACCAAGGACATTAAAAAGTTCAACAATGATTCATCCCACTAAAAACATCACCACTAATAGCACTAATGCATTAAAAAAGTAAAAAAAAAAAAATAACTCCAAGACCAAAACATCACATCATTAATGACGGGACACACTGCCACCTAATTAGTGGGAACACTAATTAGTGCTCCCAAGCATTTTTCTAAAAAGTTTATGGTGGTTAGCTCCACAATTATGAATGGGAACTGTAGATGGGAAAAGGACAAAAAAATTACAAACATATAAGGGCCGTAAGTATGTTTGATATGGTGTAAATTAAAGACTGTAGAAGTATAAGTGGCATTTATACTTCTCCATGTATTAATAATTTTTTTTCCTTCTCTTACTGCATTCCTCGGTCTTGCATATAATTTCCCATTACGAATTTCGATACCTGTACTTACCTTTGAAATTCTTGGAAAACTTAAAGCATATAATTGAATCTTTGCACAGAATATATATATTGGCGTGGCAATAGTATTTTTATAATAATCTCATTAAAATGAGGTTAGTAAAAAATGTTTGAATTGTAATATAAATTCAAAAGAGGTTAGCCAATTTTGTACATTGAAAAGAAAATTGTAATAAAATTTAGCTTAGAGTCAATCTTAAACCATATTTTTTTTTAAATATTCTATTAAGTTTGATTATTTTTCATTTTTCAGGAAGAAATTTAGACTATAATCTTAACATATTTCACTTGATTGAATTTACGGAGACTTATTTATAAGTCCTTTTTCAGACACTTATGCTATGCTAAGTCCTATGTAATTTTTTATAGAGTCTCAAGTCCTATTTAGATAGAAATGTATTCCACAAGATCTTACATAAACGTAACGTAACGTGACACTTGCATAAACGTAACGTAACGTGACACCTACATAAACGTAACGTAATGTGACATATATATAAACGTAACGTGACACCTACATAAACGTAACGTAAGGTGTCACGTTACGTTTCGCAAACTTAATGAGTTTTTATTTTTTAAAATTGAATGTGAAAATATTGCTGGTTTATGTTGGTGTCACGTTACGTTTCATATAAATATGATCTATGGCAACATTCAATTTCCTAGGAAATTAAATGTTGCCCTAGATCATAGGTATCACGTTACGTTTATGTAGGTGTCACGTTACGTTACGTTTATGTAGGTGTCACGTTACGTTTATCTAGGTGTCATGTTACGTACAGGTGTCACGCTACGTTTATGTATGTGTCACGTTACGTTACGTTTATATAGATATGATATATGGTAACATTCAATTTTCTATATATGGTTTTACTATTATTTATAATTTAACAACTAATATTGAGGGTAAATGTGTTAACAAACTTCTCACAGGACTTATGGGAACATAAGTTTTTTAGTATGACCATATGTAGCATAAGTCTCCTTAATAAGACTTATAAATAATTTCCCCTTTAATTTAAAAAATATGTTCATTCTTTTTCTTTTTTTCTTTTTTAAAAAAAATATAAATATTTTATTAGTTGGTGAAATAGTTTCTCCTAACTTTTGTGCCTGATCAGGTGAAATCCTCATTTCTTTCTTGTTGCACCTCCATAAATTTGTAATTATTAATTTATAATTTCTAATATAATTTCATCCTACAAATGAGGTGCTTCCGCCGTAATTCAGTAATACCAGAATGGTGGTGGATTGCAGTCAGTCAATGAGCGTCTACACTTTACGACCTTAGGACCAGAATGATTTGGGCTAGACTTTGGTTGGGGCAATGGTAAGCTGATTTACTTTTGGGATGATGTTTGGCCGTGCCACTCTCCTCAGAGATACATGCCATAATTTATATATAATTCACAAAGTTCTCATTATCTCAAAGTGATAGTTAATATGGAGGATAAAAAAGGATTTATCTCCCATCATCAATGATCTTCTTTGCACTGGCCAATTCCAACATAGATCCGAAATACAGCCTTCCATCTACTCCGTATGGTTAAACCGATTCAGGTTGATGGTTGGTAGATACTAAAATAAATAAAATTAAATATAGAATGTGAATACAATTTTTTTTCCATTCATATGTCTAACAAATTACTAATGAATAAAAGCCTAATTATTACGTGAATTAACACATTATGGGAGGCCTGTTTAATTATATAAAAAATGTGAAGCTAATTGCATCTGATTTAAATATCAGTGAAGGTAAGTGTAATTTATTACTCAAAGAGAAATATATTAATGCATTTAATGGAGTCCAAAAATGAGAACACTACACGAACATCAATAGAAATGGCTCAAATGGAATGCAACACTGCTGAGTAATTCACATCGAGCAATCTCGGTAAGGTTATGTTTCAATTAAAAATTTTGAAAAGGAAAGGAAAAATTGAATATGAAATAGAAATTGAATATTTTTCATACATTTTCTTTCTTCAGTAAGATAGTGTTTGGATTAAAGATTTGAAATGGAAAGAAAAAGTGAATAAAATAAAAATTAAATTTTTGTCACATTTACGTTTCATTTTCTTTCCTCTATAAACCATTTCTCAATTTTTAAATGTAAACACAACCTCGTGATAGTTTTCAAATAGATTTTCTGTTGGAGGGTCATATTACACCACTGAACATATATCTGATATGACACCTACTGCTCTACTCCCATTCTCTGGGTATTTTTTATTTTATTTTATTTGTTGTTTATAATAGCAAAACCATTAATTTAAAACATAGTCAGTACGATAAGTTGAATAAAAACACCCGTGTGTTGAAGGAGGACCAGAATGGTGGTAGTTGGCTCTCCAACGGCTTTGATATTGATAGTTCTGCTTTACAAAGAAATTTAAAGATTCTTTATGTCAGTCATATGCCACCCATATAAATTAACATGTTACTAGTAGAATTTTTCATTGCTTCCTTGATTGTCATATGCCACTCATTCTTGTTTCCTTAACCAATTGAACTTACTAAGAACCATGAATCTGTCTTTTAATGGGCAGTCTCAGGTACCTCCCGGTTTTCGATTCCATCCAACAGAAGAGGAGCTTCTGCAGTACTACTTGAAGAAGAAAGTGTCACAGCAGAAGCTAGACATCGATGTAATTCCCCACGCCGATCTTAATAAGCTAGAGCCATGGGATATTCAAGGTATATAAAGCCTCTACAATTCCTTTTTTACTTCATTTGCTAGATTAACAGTGTTGTACTTATCAATGATGGATTGGGGGATCCAAAAATTTGAAAAATATCATATATTATATTAAAAATTTTAAAATAACCTCAAATTATAGAAGTTCATACCTCCAAATTTTTTGTACATAAGTTCAAAATTATATAGAGTAGCCATTCTAATTTTTTAGACTATAGAGTAGCCCCAAAGACATAATCCTGGATCCGTCCCTAGTACTTATGCAATATTTATTTATTTGTTATTATTTCTATTTATTTATGTTGTGTAGAGAAGTGCAAAATAGGATCGACCCCACAAAATGAATGGTATTTCTTCAGTCACAAAGACAAGAAATACCCTACGGGTACTCGAACCAATCGAGCAACTGAGGCTGGTTTTTGGAAGGCTACCGGTCGCGACAAGGTGGTGTACAACGATGGTTCAAGAATCGGACTGCGGAAGACTCTGGTCTTCTATATTGGAAGAGCCCCTTGTGGACAAAAATCTGATTGGATCATGTACGAATACCGCCTTGATGACAATACGAATGATGCGAATGTAAGCTATTTTGATGTTACGAGTAATTTTATTAGTAAGTGGTTAGTTTTATGAGTAATTTTATTAGTAAACCGTTAGTTTTATACTAAAAAAATAAGAGGTAATTATAAATACAACTTCTGAGATTTGCTTAAAATATAAATTACTTTTGTGATTTGAAAAATTACAAGTACATTATTGTTAAAAAAAATTTATTTAACAGAATTAATTAAAAAAATAAAATTCATAATTGCTCTTCTATACAATAATAAAATTACTAAAATTATTAATTGAAACATATTTCTAACATTATTAAAAATTGTTAATTGATTTGATGATTTATTAATAAAATGAGCAATTTATTATGAAATTAGAAACCTCAAGGGGTAAAATGTAATTTTCAAAACCACAAAAGAAAATTCATATTTTAATTAAATCTTAAGGGGTGTATTTGTAATTTACCAAAAAATAAAAATATTAGAATTGCACTCAATACATGGTCTCAAAGGACAAACAATTTCTGAAGAAGCAACACACCGACCATAGGCATACAAACCAGGGAAACAACACACCTGGCCTAAAAGATAGATCTCTCACGACCCGAGAGGCTTAAAAACCAACCACGACGTAAGACATATGCAAAACAAGCAAAAGCAAATACAAACAGAATAAATATTTTTTGAAAGGTGATGGATATTGAAGCTTAGAAGAAAAGGGTATAACTGTCTTTTGAAGTGCATTTATCATTCAGTTAGTGCCAACATTTAATATAAACTTGTAGACAATTTGATTCATATCCCATCATTCATTTTTATCATTTTGAACCAGAATTTTGTATGAAAGGTCTGTCTAAAATATTCTCAAAATTAGATTTTCTTCAAACTAATATGTCTCTTATGTCTCTTGTATGCACGAGTATGACTAATATAATTAGGTGTTTACTACCACATCAGGTAATTAATAAATTTAATCATACCAATATTACTCCAGTGTGCACTCAGAATCTCATACAAAACAAAGAATTGTAATGAAGTCTCATTTAGCTACACCACGTAATTACTAGTACTTCAATTTTTGTGTCTTCTAATAATATTTCATTATGACGTTGTAAAAACAGGTATGCAATTTAGAAGAGCCAAAGGCAGAGGACGGTTGGGTGGTTTGTCGTCTTTTTATAAAGAAGAACCACTGCAAGGCCCAACAGAGTCCACAAAGGATAACCACTTCTACAAATGTGTGGTCTCAAATCCACAATTCAAGAAATGATGGTGATCTTGATCAAATACTTGGCTGCATGGTAAAACCTTGCAAGCAAGAAAATGAAACACCCATTGATAACCTCAACCGCAATGACAATATTGAGTTTGAACCCTCAATTAACACAAGCATTATTGAGGGGTTTCGTAGTGGATTCGCAAATCTTCCAGAGCTTGAGAGTCCAACCATTCCATTGTTACCGAACAATAGCTCACCCTTCAATGATCAAGATTATAGTTTTGAACCTTGTAGGCTTTCAGTAGATAATATACTTACAGGAATTGAATCTTCTTGCAACCATCACAAGAATGCTTGCAACAAAAATACCAATACAATTGACAACGGAAAAGATGGTCTCGAGGAGTGGCTTGGACTTGATGATCAAGTTATGACTTCCAAGTTAAATGGAGAACTAGAGACAACCAAGCAACTGTCCTACTATAAGGATGAGGACTTGGGTTTCTGGTTTGATCATCGCTTACATCGACTAGCACACCTATGTTCAAATAAACCAAATCAAGCCTCTGAAGTCTGTAGAAGTGATATGCATTTATGGAGCCTCATTTGATAAAACTAACTTGTTTGTGTATATCGACATTAAGTACTTAGCCATAAGGGAACATGTTAAGGAAGGAAAAGTGGTCATTGAACACATCAGCACTGAATTGATGATTGCTGATCCTTTGACTAAGGGCATGCCACCATCTAAATTCAAGGATCATGTAATGTCAATGGGACTTGATTCCATTATGTAGTTCATTCATTGTACGAACTATGTTTTCTCATTAAACTCTTACTTAATGTGATGTTTTTTCTCTATTTTATGTGCACCTTAAGTTTGAGAAAAATTCATCTATGTTGGATCAAGAATGAACGTAGGGGTCATTCATTAAGAAATTGTTGTCACATAAATTATAACATTTAAGAAATAAATGCATTGTAATACATGGAAGGTAGTACTCGTCATAAGAGGACCTATTGCCATGATTCATGTGTTTATTACTTAAATACTGATTATCAATGAAGTTTAAGTTGAGACAATAGTTTAGAAGTGTGGACCAAGTGGGAGAATGTTGACCGCTTCTCACGGAAACCGTTCATAAGAACGGGTGTCAAACTTCCCCTTCTTTCAGGAAATTTGTTTTAGATAATGGTCCTCAACTTCTATGCATCTTCATCACGTTCATAGAGCAGTTGGAACGTGCCCATGATAATCTGAAACAGTGGCAACATGGAGCCACCGAAAAGCTTGATGGAAGCTTGGCTATAAATACTTGGTTTTGGTCCCCAAGCTCACTGACTCAATTCTCTTCAGTCTTACACCATCATTTAGAGTGAGCAGAGTTTGGAAGACTGTTAAACCAGTGTCTCCTAAGTGAGCAGCACCAATGGCTGGAGGTATTATTCTTGAGCAATTTAGTTTCTTCTATTATTGCGATTCATATCAAGCATTTATTCCGCACTAAAGAATCGTATCAGTTACTTCAATAATATCATCTAAGTAACTACATGTGCGTGATCTTTTATATTTATAATAAATAGAGTGATGTGATGAAAGATTGGTATGCTTGATTGTCGCAAAATCAATCTTCCCATACAATTACAAATGAGTAAAGATAGCAAGTATAGATATTATCTCCACACGGATTATTGTGTAATTCTTGATATTCCAATTATTAATTTCCAAATTAGTTTGTTGAGATTGATTATTTTGCAAGAATAAACTAGGTTATAAAACCCAAATTAAATAAGCAAGAAAATTCAAGTTGAAGAAAAAAAAAATGATAACTTAGAGATCCGAATCCACTACTAGTTCCATACCTAAAATTCTCGTCTTAGATTATACAAATAATTGATCGGAATAGGTCAATTTCTCAACTACAAGTTCGAAATTGAAAAAGATAGTAATATTGAGTTCGATTCAAGACTATGACCTATCCCAACTAGCACGAATGGTCCACTCTAAACTAGGATTTGTAGCACAACCCGTACTGAGAAAAGATAGAAACATTTTTATTCAAAAATTCAAAAGTTTTACAATTATTTCAATCGAATGATACAGTACAAAGCTCTGAAGATGAAAAATCGGTTACTTGACTTAAGATTTCATCAAAAACCTAAGTATGGTGCTTAGTCACTCATGGAAAGAGGTAGAAGTGCAAGAAAATGGAGGAGATAGTAAACCCCATTGTTGTGCAAGTTCTCTTCACCCCTAGTGATCTCCCTCTTGAAACCAAAAGAACAAGAACCATTTTCTTTTTCTTTTAATACGTACGTTCATTTCAAGTTGTAAACTTAAAAACACAGAATGTGCAGCGGATAAAAAAATCAGATCATACCTTCTTGATGATAGAACCTTCTTGGATAAATCACGTGCTTCCAGGGAACTTCTTGATGAACCAACCCAGCAGTGGAGTGATATCACAGATGGAATATCACCCACACAAACCACAGTGTCAAAGACTTGATCGTTGTTTTTTGTGGGAGAGAGTCAGTATATGGGTAGAAACAGACTATACGTCGTTTCTCACTTGGATTACCCATAACCATATATCAGATATATAATATATTATAATATCTATCCATATCAGTTAAAACTGATAATCATCTGTATCTTGAGTGGTTATCCTAAATAGGTTTGAATTCAAATTCAAAACCTATTTAGATAACCACTCAGGATATCTATATCTATCATATCAACTGATATGGACAGATGATATAGATATCTTATATATCTAATATAACTGATATGGATAGATTTATTATTATCCAATATATCTGATATAATATGGGATATGGGTGATTAAAAGAAGAATAACGTATGTCGTATGTTTTTCCCATATACTGACTCTCTCCCAAAATACAACGATCAAGAGCCATTTTGCACTGTGACTTGTGTGGGTGATACTCA